GGAAAACGTGTAAACCATGCATTACGCAACGAGTTGACAATTGTTTTAGGTTTGCCCGTTTGCGCTAAGACGGAACTCGGTCGCAAAAATGGTCACGAGGGGGGCACGAGTCGCTATTCGGCTTGTCCCGGAATAATACAAGTTGGTCACGAATGATTCTACCCCGGATCTTCACCGTGCGACGGGTCCTTTAAGTGCAAGAATTTTGAACGCCAGGTTAAACGCCTTTCACCTTCCCCCTCTCAACAAGACCGCACTTTCAAGGAACTCTGTTTGTGCAACTAAAACACAATTTAGAAAATATGTGAAAACATAAATTTGCCTCATGCAGATTTTTGATACACAACATGTCCACTGGATCTTCCTAGATATATGGAGTGAGTGAGTGAGGTTTTACGCCGCTTTTAGCAGTATTCCAGCAATATCACGGCGGGGACACCAGATATGGGCTTCACACATTGTACCCATGTCGGGAATCGAACCCGGGTCTTCGGCGTGACGAGCGAACGCTTTAACCACTAGGCTACCCGACCGGCCCTTAGATATATTGTGTTGAGTGAAACAAGTGAAATGGCCACTTAATAAAATCTGTAAAAGTAGGAAGCAAAATATAACTCTCTAAATGGTAATAAATTTTATGTTTATTTTCTTTTTTTTTATCCTACACTTTTGAATGAGATCACTTTGGCATATAAAGAATTTAAGAAATATGTTGTTTATATTTTATCTTTTTTCAAAATCTAATTTCGACCACGAATCGCATTTGGTTTTGTGAGGAAAGCCGTACAGCACGTGATGATGAAATGAGTCTTATACTTAGGGGCAAAAGAAAGTATACTGGATAAGATGATGTACTGTAACCGAAAAATCAAAGAACTGTTATTAAATTTGATTCTGTTTATTTAACCGTCACTCATTCTTGAACCAGATTTTTAATGTAATCTTTGCTTGGGTCATTTTGATTAAAAATATTCGTTCAATGAAGACTTAGGTAAGAAATGAACGTGCAACCACGTGACCACTACCGTGTTTTAAATGTCAGAAAATATTTTTTTAAAGTTTTAAATCAAATTATAATTTTAAAAAACAAAATCATGTAGGAGTATTTTTTTGTGTACATGCTAACTAAGCTCCAGTACAGTTCCTTTTTTAAAAATAATAATAATTATAGCTACATCAAACAGGTGATTAAATCAACTGAGAGGTATAGTTTCTTTTGCCTCTCAGTATATATCCGCCCATCGCAAATTACGTTGTGATTATCGTATATATGAAAGAGGGGATGCCTCACATGCACTGGTGGGAATCGATTGTAGCAGCATGATTGATGATTGGAGCTTCCCAATCGATCGATAATCGAAATCAATCACTTAGCTTCAGCTGGCTGTTTTTCAAGGTTAAGTTCCGTTAAGCTGCAGATCACACTTAATAGGAACACTAATTGATTTACTTACTTCAGCACTTTATATTTCAAACAAGACACTGTGCCTCATTCTTCACTCTTTCTCACTCCATTGCAAGAAGTAAACGTTTGTTTGTTTGTTTGTTTGTTTGTTTTTTTGTTTAACGCCGCACTCAGCAATATTCCAGCTATATGACGGGGGTCTGTAAATGATCGAGTCGGGATCAGACAATCCAATGATTGATATCATGAGCATCGATCTACGCAATTGGGATCGATGACATGAATCAACCAAGTCAGCGAGCCTGACCACCCGATCCCGTTAGTCGCCTTTTACGACAAGCATAGTCACCTTTTACGGCAAGTATGGGTTGCTGAAGACCTATTCTACCCCGGATCTTCACGAGGCGGATGCTTTTTTTGGCCAAGGCGGTCGTACAAACTTTACAAAATCTTAAAACAACGCGCAAAACTAATACTTTATTAAACTTTAAAGAAGCAAAAACTTATATTAGATTGATTGAGTGAGTGAGTATGGTTTTACGCCACCTTTAAGAAATTTCCAGCAATATAATGTCGGGAGACGCCAGAAATGGGCTTCACCCATCGTACTAGTGAGGGGTACGGTACACGTGTTTTCAGCATGACGAGCGAACGCTTCAACAACGCGGCTATCTCACCGCCCCTAAAATTACATTGAAAGAGAGTAAATGCTAAAGCGCTATAAACTTCACTGTTTACACAAGACTAGCAAAACGTTAAAATCAAAGGATTGGCGGACATGAGTGATCTTTGAAAAATCTGGACCTGTTAGAGGTCTGAGATTCAAATGAACGTAACAGTAAATGTAACTATGTGAGTGAGTGAGTGAGTTGGGTTTAACGCCGCTTTTAACAACAGTATTCCATTTATATCACGGCGTGTCAGCTTAATGTGGGAGGAAAGCCCGAAGTGATGCAGGTCTCAGACGTTTACCACTTCGGTGAAACCCGCGAGCACGGGTATGGTGCTGACAAACCTAGAAACATAATCGGGGCGAACCGGGATTCGCACCCACAATCATAGGTCTCTGGCGTGGCCAAGGGACGCAACTCTGCACAGCGAATCGCGGCGCCTTAGACGACTGGGCCACCCGTGCCCCCCAGAAACAAAAGTAATCCGACACATAAATATATATGTTATAAGTAATACTACAGTATATTTGAATCATGTGTGCGTGCGTGCGTGTGCGCGTGTATATATCGGTACAAAGCATGCATATAGTGTAATGTTCTATATAAAATGAACAGTGTGCCTCATATAAGCCTATATGACGGATATATATATATATATATATATATTAGGGGTGTCTCGATAAATCGAAATATCGATATATTGCTATTGGTAAGCACAAATCAATAAATCGATTGTTAAATCAGTTTCCGATCAATAGTATCTATTTCAGTAAGGAAAATCGATAGTTTCGATTGTATTTACCATATCAATAAAATACATGTACTGCTGTTCAAATTTGTTTTTCTTTTGATCATGAGTGGTAGTAATTTACACATGGTAATGCTGAAGTTGTTTTTTTTCACCCCTAATATATATATATATATATATATATATATATATATATATATATATATTGTATTTATGTGTGTGTGTGTGTGTGTGTGTGTGTGTGTGTGTGTGTGTGTGTGTGTGTGTGTGTGTGTATATATATATATATATGCTGTCATATTTATGTAGTATTGGATTGTTACCCGGGCAAGAACAGGTCTTCAGCAACCCATGCTTGCCGTAAAAGGCGACTATGCTTTCCGTAAAAGGTGACTATATGCTTGTCTTAAGGGGCGACTAACGGGATCGGGTGGTCAGGCTCGCTGACTTGGTTGATGCATGTCATCGATCTCATTTGCGTGGATCGATGCTCATGATATGAATCACTGGATTGTCTGGTCCAGGCTCGATTATTTACAGACCGCCGTCATGAAGCTGGAATATTGCAGAGTGCGGCGTTAAACAACAAACAAACAAACAAACAAAAGTATGGGATTGTAAAGCAATGCAGATAAACAGCCGGGGAAAAGAAAATACACGCCATGTTTGATGATGAGTAAATATGTAACAAACAAGAAATGGTTATTCCCCGTCGATGGTGATGTAGTTGACGCGGGCAGCATCTGTACTTCTGGACCGCCTCCGTGGTCTAATGGTAGAGCGTCCGCCCGGAGAGCGGAAGGTCCGGGGTTCGATCCCGGGCCGCGTCATACCAAAAGACGTTAAAAGATGGTACTTGTTGTTACCCTGTCTGGCGCTCGGCATTAAGGGGCTAAAACAAGGACTGGTCGGCTCGGAGTCAGTATACTGTGTCTGAGTGAGGTATTCATGTTAAACTGCGGCATGGTATCTCAGTGAGCTAGCACTATAAATCGGCATCAGTCCGGACTAGTACAAGCAGCCACACACACACATACACGTGCATGCACGTCGCTATATGTACGTGCTTCTTTGACGCGACGTTAAACCCCATTTCACCTCGCCTCTGTACTTCCGGTTTGGACATTAAGTTAGCAGGTTTTGATAATTCTGAGTCAGATCCAATTTTCAAGTGAAGGCCTACATTATATTTTGCCCGGTTGTTTATAAGCGGTGGATGGTGGGGCGGAGGTTAAAGCGTTTGCTCGTAACACCGAAGGCCCGGGTTCGATTCCCATATCCATGGGGACGATGTGAGAAGATCGTTTCTGCTGACCCACCGTGGCAATGATGAACAATTGCTAAAAACGGCGTAAAATCATACTCACTCACCTCGTATACTTATGTGACGCTTTAAATTTGTACATATTATTTTACACGTTCTCCTGTATCCTGTAGGCTAAATATCTCGCCACCCAGTATATCTTCGTAAAAAAACATAACGTAAAAAATAAACAAAACAAATACAACGCCAATAATGAAAATAATAAAAAACGGAATTTGTCTATTAATTATTGCCGATCATGTAAAATATTGCTTTGTGGGGGCTAATTTAGACACAATCTTTAAAGAAAACCCATTCATATCTTATCTTTATCATATCTCACACCGAACGAACTAAGTGTTGATAAAAAAGTGTAATACTTAGTTTTGAAGAAAAAAAATGTTCGCCACAGGTTTTCTAGTAATGAATTATCCAAGTACGTGTTACAAATAATCGCTGTATATAAAGTACGAAATCCCCGTGTGTTGAGCTATATGTATGTTATGAGAAAATTTCGAAATTGTAAACAAAGGGAAGAGAAAATAAACTTGACATTTTGAGTGTGAGCAAAAATATTTTTATTGGGGGAATAGGTTTTTATGGAAAGGGTTTTGTAATACTTTGAAACAGGTGCGCAAGTAAACGGGGATTTTGTTTGATTTTCCGATATCGGGTAATATTGTACCATGGCCTCGCTATTACTTCTCTTATCAATGGTGGTTATAAATCAAATTAAACGCGTAAAACTAAATCGGACACAGTTTTTATTGCTCGGCCATATAAGCTTATGTCAACAAAGCTTGTCACGGACATTCGCCCGCCATCGTGCACAGGTGAATGTCGCAAGGAATCTTGGGATAGGTCCCCCCACATGTCACAGCCGCCATTACGGGAGTTGTAAAGTTTCGCGGGAAAGTTATGACTTCTGCTACTGAACAGGTATGTATGCATGGCTTTGAGAAAATTATGTACGTATTAACTCCTCAACGATTATGTAAACACTCTGTTAAGTTTGATAACTTTTGGACAAAGGGAAAGGGAATTATTAACAATCACTCGGCGCTCGGATGGGTAAGTAGGCCACACTCAGTGGCAGACGTGAGAATGAAGGCGAGATTTCTCAGTTGACACGGCGACAAAGATGGTTTCGTCGTATGACATTTCGAGTGAAGGGGTATTTAATGAAATGTACATTAAAATTTTAATATATATGGTAATATGCTTTCATTTTATTGCTAAAAATAATCATAAAATTCCGATGGAGTCCAGACAAGGATATGGGACATTCGTGACATGGCCTGTGCCTCGAATCGGCTTCGCTTTGTCATCAGTGTTGTGATACGCATATTGAATATCATTCTCTTCGTGAGGTGCGTTGCTAAGTTGTCCCAGTGGTCTATATTTATTACATATGTTCATGGATACGTTCACAATGTACTTTTGAAAATGTTTACAGATCACTTTCCAAAGAAATCCCCTTGCTCGGCAAAATCATGAATGTGACGAACGGACACTTGCTGGGCTAATGTTAGCCATTGTTTATGTTGCTAACGGGATGTAACCTCTGATCCCAACTACTTAGTTGATTAATTGGATTAATTGTGGCAAAAGCGCAGTAGGGTGTTCATAGAGGATTTTCGCTGACTTGATGAGATTTAGTTGTGTGACCCATTGTTGGCATTGTTTACTGCGATGGACCATGGCTTTGTTCAAGTGGGGTAGGCCTAGAGCACAAGTGTTTTATTTTGGATAAAACAAACATTGTATTCAAATCTTTCTCAGCGTTTCATGTGTTGATTTGACTATGAGATAGAAAGATGTTCATTTACATCATCAAAGGGAGGTAATTTCAATGGGGATGTGATCTTTAATGAAACAAGGCATAAAAAGTTATGCAAATTTGCAATGAATTAAACTTTATGAAATTCAGTCTGTGCTAGCACTTTGAGACTACAAGCCTGAGTTCTTGACATTATTTTCTGCAGATTTTAGTGTTGTTCAGAGCTCCGGATAAGCTGCGTATCTGCGTAAAATACGCATCAGAAATGCAGAAATACGCAGTAAAATAAAATCCAAGCGTATCAAATACGCAACGAACATTACAGATACGGTACAGAAATAAAACTTGTGTGTATCATCAAAATATTGTGAAGTAACCCTGCGTATTCGATTAACAAATCAGCATCTTATTTTGAAATTATAAACGGGCATTCTGTCAACCTTGCCAAACTCCACGATCACAGTTACATCATGATCATTTGCCATCACACTTTCGTGTGGAAGTTGTGGTATTTTTGAATCCTATAAAGCTCTCGAACCCACACGACACCAGTTTGCAGGGACTAGATGACTTGAAGCAATTTCAAATAATGACTTGACTTGACTTAATATACCAGGAATGCAACTCAACAGGAGACATCTCCTTGCCTCAAAAGGGTTAAAATATGACATCCCGGAAAAACCTTCCAGCCCTAGGGATGCCTTTATCATATTAACATTAGATAAACTCATTTTACTGACTCTGGCTAGTACCAAGTGGCATCCCTGTCAACATTTGGAACACTGTATAAAGCAGTGTCCAAAATAATGCCTTCCCCAGGGCTGGGACGGGGTACTCGGGTACTCGGGTACTCGGGTACTCGGGTCGGGTGGTTCGTGAGTAGGACCTGGATACCCACAGGACTTCCCGGACCCGTGGTTAGTCACGTGAAATATTGTTTAATGGCAAAAATTATCTAGAACTTCCATGGTTACACTATAAGAGACTAATGTTTGCATTTCTTTCTGACTATGCACCCATTCCTTCTGACTTTATATGCTTGAATAGAAATAAAACATCAGTCAACTTCAGTGTTTGCATGACCAGATTGTTTTATATGAGTATCGAAATACATTTTGCCAGGGCTACAGTCCAACTATTTCCAGTCGGACATTTGTACCTATCTCTATGTTATATGGTCGAATATTACCTGAGCTTCCTCTGCTGAACAGACCTTATTCCCCCCCCAGCATGTAATACAGGCGATAGTCATCGTGTGGTCTGTCTCTCTGTACATACTTCATTTCCGGAGCAGAACTAAAATACTATTCAAGATTGTTTATCCAAACTTGGTACGTGTATTAACAGGGTATGAAACTCCCAAAAATTTCAGCCAGACCACAGGACTGGCTAGCTGAAATACTTGCCAGCCCTGACCAAAACCTGCCTGCCCACTATAATCATATGTTTCTCAGGATAAGCTAACAGGATTTCTTTTTGGTTACATTTAATCATTCATATTTACATGTGAAATAATGATTATCATCGGGAAATATTTAGAATATTGTCACATATGAAATATAACCCGACCGTCGGGCAGGGGGATTTGAAAATCTGGCAGCCCGAGTTGAAATCAACCCGTCTCGGACGGTCGGGCAGGCAGGTATTTCGAACACTGGTATTAACCAGGGGCTGAAGTGGTGCCTTTTCCTTTTATGAGAACTTTTGGGGGGGAGGGGGATTTGCAATCTTCCTCTACACTATGGCTTCGGACTAGTGGCTCAAGTCACAAAATTTAAATGACGGAGTTGATAATAACATTTGTCTAAAGGGTAAGGGAATATATCATGGACTCAGCACTCGTAGGTTTTGATCTACTGGCCTGAATAGTGATGACATATTGCAATACTTCTTTCCCCCCCCCACCCCCCCATGCATCAACCAAGTCAGCGAGCCTGACCACCCCATCCCGTTAGTCGCCTCTTACGACAAGCATAGTCACCCCGTTTACCAGTAATTACCAGTTTTTTACTGGTAAAATTAGGCTTGTACTGGTAATTCATGTGACTGCCAGAGTCCTTGTGGACCGGCCAATAAGTACCCCATAAATCTTTGTTGTTGAACAGGGGGCGGTCGGGTAGCCTGGTGGTTAAAGCGTTCGCTCATCACGCCGAAGACCCGGGTTCGATTCCCAACATGGGTACAATGTGTGAAGCCCATTTCTGGTGTCCCCTGCTGTGATATTGTTGGAATATTGCTAAAAGCGGCGTAAAACCATACTCACTCACTCACTGTTGTTGAACAAAACATTGGCGATATTCATATTAGTATATTTTTGAACAAAGTCAGCTTGTCTGCCCATCAAGATTTCCCGTCTGTTTTCACTGCAAGGAAATAACATTCATTTTGCCTCGAAATTAAATCTTATTTCTTGCAACTTAGACACCAAATATTCAAAAAAGGAGAGAAAATTGTTACTGAACTTTGTGTGAATGACATGTAGATCTATCTGAGTTACTTCAGATATGATGTCATGGCTTTAAACCTGATGTTGATAGAATTAAATCCATGTAATTTTAAAAAAAAGAAGTTTCATGCAGTTTTTGATTTATTGAAAGTCGGGACTGACAAAAATAAGAGGGGACCGGTAATTTTAAGAGTTGCCAGTCCACCAGAACTGGCAGTTTCAAAAGACAGCGGGAACACTGGCTTTACCTTGACTTACAAAACTAGCGGTTCGGAAGACGTCGCAGTTACAAATTTCCTTGCAGAAAAATGAGGGTCCCTTAAGTATTGTTTGTTTGTTGTTTTACGCCGCACTCAGAAATATTCCAGCTGCATGACTGCAGTCTGTGAATAATCGAGTCTGGACCAGACAATCTAGTGATTGACATCATGAGCATTGATGCACATAATTGGGATACAATATCATACATGAATCTGACCGATGCTGATAGTCACCTTTTACAACAAGCATGGGTTACTAAAGACCTATTCTACCTTTGGTCTTCATGGGTCCCATAAAGTGTTGAAATGGTGTACTGTATTGTAAAATGTTATAATTACTTTAATTATAGAATATTTATTTTTCTTGTTTAGAATTTGATAAACTTAATTGTACGATATTACTGTGCATAGTCCAATCAAAATCGCCCACCGAAATCGAAATCAGGTTCGTAAAGTGTCATGCATAGTTCGGTCAACTGCAGGATTTGCAAAGCATGTGCACCGCTAACTCGTTGTCAACAAATATTTTCGATATCTTTTCATGTTTTTAATCAAGGTGCTCACGTGATTTGATGCACTTCGCGATGTAAGACTCGTTTTATCACAATATGGATCTTGATTATCGATCAGATCACCTTCACGAGGCACCACAAGTTTTGTTTGAAGCAATGCAGTGATATCGAGAGGTGGAATCTGATTGGTCCATAGGAGAGGCTTAGAAGGGACATAACTGGTAATAGCCACTGGTGGCGCTACGATCGAGCCCAGGAATTCCATCCAGCCTATTTCGGCAAGGGTGGAAACTGGACTTTTAAAGTCAGTTAACTCCCTTGCCTCGGGAAGATGATACAGGGTTAGAACTTAACTCAAAAGCTTCACTAGCCCGAGTAAAGATAAAATGCCCTTGTAATGTTAAACAATGGGAAATTTGGAAATGTGTACTTGCCCACACAAATTTCTACTAGTCCTGGGCTAGCAGGCTAGCGTTGATTTCTAACCCTGCTCATAATGCTGAAACATGCACCTACAGGCTTCCAGCACTAGCTGAAGATTTGTTAGACAGATTACCTTTGTTAGAACTTAATATTGCAGTACTTGACAAGTGCTTCCAGGGCGTGTAAGTGCTTGGGCTTTTTGCTTGTGTTGTGTATATCCCTGGAGATGGACCTCTGTGATTGGGGAATGCCCCGTGCATTGTATGACTGCCTAGGTCTTGTATGATATGATCATAGCTACCTGCCAAACAGCCACCTCGATGTTGCCTAGCTCAACTCCATGGGCTTCAGTACTGGGACAGAGGGGTTGTGTGAAGGATTTTTCGAATTTGTTCAGCTTTTGATTTATGGAAATTCAAAAAGTGAGTGAGTTAGGTTTAACACTCCTTGGAACAGTATTCCAGTTATATCACGGCTGTATTTAAGTTATATCATGGCTAAAATTCATACAAGAAAGGGGTTCAGATTGGTCCTGACGTCTAAGACGTTTGTTGGTTGCCTGACATCCAGATATGTGACATGTCCTAAATTTTTTTTCAGATTAAGTTCTTATCATTACTTACCATTCATTTAATGACCACCCCAGTCTTTTTGTCTGCCAAATATCGCAAAATGTGTTGTTACTAGCGTTTCAAGTTCACTACTAAAAATATCTGCTAAAATCGGCTGAACCAGTCTCCAACAAACTTGCAAGAACTTGGCTCCAAGGATAATTGTTAGTACAATTTATATGACGTTTTAGTAGCTAACACCCGTGAAGATTCCAAGGTAGAATATGTCTTCAGCAACCCATGCTTGCCGTAAAAGGCGACTATGCTTGTCGTAAAAGGCGACTAACGGGATCGGGTGGTCAGGCACGCTGACTTGGTTGATGCATGTCATTGATCCCAATTGCGTGGATCGATGCTCATGATAATTGATATTAATCACTGGATTGTCTGGTCCAGACTCGATTATTTACAGACCGCCGTCATATAGCTGTAATATTGCTGAGTGCGGCGTTAAACAACAAACCAACCAAATCTTGTGCTGCTAATCAGACCATACATTCGATCTCCAACAGTAAATCATAATTATTGAACCTGCCTGACCAATTCTATTGAAAAAATCCTAACTACATAAAGGTCACACACAAACACAGATTAAAAATAATGCCCATATCATACTTCCCTAAAGTATTGTATACATAAATTGCAGATAATTTCAACCTCTTTCATCGGGAGGTTAGAACTATTTCTAATAATTACACATGTTTGAAAAACTGTTGTAGATTTGTGAACATGATAGTTGCAGATCGCAGAACCTGACGGGTAATGGCTTACACAGTCAGCTTTTGTTACCTACCCGTACAGGCTAGCCTTGGGAGTTTTCTGAACTATCAGAAATTTAATATATCTACATTCTGGGTGTATATGCACAGGGCACCTGTCTGAACAGGTCTGCCAGAGTCTTTGTGGTCTGGCTCGATGAAGCATGGAAAGCTAATGTTTGATATGATCTCATCTCTACAGAGTCGCTGTGAGCTGCTTGGTCGTGTTCTACCTGGTCGTGTTCTACCTGCTGGAACTCATGGAACGGAGCTGGAATCCTGACAGGTCCTAGATGGCGGCTTTTCATGAGGACTCTGTGTGTTTATACAAGGTAACAATAACTTGTCAGTTAGACCCGTGAAGATCCGGGGTAGAATAGGTCTTCAGCACCCCATGCTTGCCGTTAAAGCCGACTATGCTTGTCGTAAAAGGCGACTAACGGGATCGGTTGGTCAGGCTCGCTGACTTGGTTGATGCATGTCTTCGATCCCAATTGCGTGAATCGATGCTCATGATGTCAATCACTGGATTGTCTGGTCCAGACTTGATTATTTACAGACCGTCGTCATATAGCTGGAATATTGCTGAGTGCGGCTTAAACCAACAAACCAACTTGTCAGTTGGTGCCCAAAACAGAAGTCTACAAGCTCAAGCTTTTCTTTTTTCACATAGTTTTCAGTAGTTTTGCTGGAGACAAGTGTCATTACCCGACTCATTAGGACAGTAGAACCACACAGTATTACCGGTATGCTGCAATACACTTTTCAAACGATAAGTTTTGTAATATTCTAAGTGTTCCTGCTGGCTTTTGAAACTGCCAGTCCCCCAGCAGTCTGGCAACTCTCAACCCCCCCCAACTTGCAACAAATAATAAAACATATGAAAATTTCCTGGTTGTAATCCTTTCAACATCATTTTTCAATGCAATGACGTCATCTCAGAAGTAACTTAGATCTGCACGTCATTCACACAAAGTTCAGTTGCAATTTTCCCCCTTTTTAAAAATATTTTGAGACTAAGTTGCTATAGATATATATTTAACCTCAAAGCAAAGCGAAATGTTATTTCCTTGCACTAAAAATAGACAACGGGAAACCCTGATGGTAGTTCAGAAAAATATGCTTACATGAATATCGCCAATGTTTTGTTCAACTAAAAATTATAAGGTATTTTATTTGCTGGTCCACAGGGACTGGCAGTCACATTAATCACCGAACCGAGCCTAATTTTACCAGTAGAAAACCGGTAGTAATTACTGGTAAACAGGAACATTGCTACTGGTGTGTAGTAATTACCGGTAAACAGGAACATTGCTTCTGGTATGTGGGGTGAAAATTATGAAACAAGTTTTATTTGTTTCCTTTAACAAAAGATCTACACAGATGTTCATTCACAAAGTGTATTTCCCTTTGAATTGGATCCACAAAGTGGCGGAAATACGGAAAGTGATTTTTCTGTCAACTTTGTTATCTCCCTGTATGCTTGACTACAAAATGGCCGTGACTAACCACATGCAATGCTGTACAAATTTGTTTTAGTAATTTACACATGAAGTTTCCTTTTCTTAAATTATTAGGGTAAAGAAAAAACAAATCAGTCATATCTCAAACTTTACTTTTTATCCCCCGCCCCAATGAAGTTGGCGGGGGATATAGAAATTGGCTCAGTCCGTGTGTGCGTTGTGCATCCCGAAATCGTTTCCGGAGAATAACTCAGAAATCGTTCAATATTTTTTCATGAAACTTTGCAGGTCTGTCAAGGACATGCTGAACTGGTGTCTTTTGCTATTTAGAAATTTTAGAAATTTTTATTTTTTACATTTCCATGGCAACAAGATGGACTTAGGTTCTGTGAGGGTAGGGTTCCTTTCCGGAGCATAACTCATAAACCGTTCAATATTTTTTCATGAAACTTTGCAAGTCTGTCAAGGACATGCTGAACTGGTGCCTTTTGCTATTTAGAAATTTTAGAAATTTTTATTTTTTACCTTTCCATGGCAACAAGATGGACTTAGGTTCCAAACTCATCTTTTTTTTACACTTTCCATGACAAGTTCCACCTCGGTTAAAAAAGGTTAGGGTTTGTTTGGATTTAATTATGTCATAAATTCTGCAACAGGGGCGGGGGATATAGCCACATTAGTGGCAAACTCTTGTTATTAATATATTAACATTCATATACTGCACTTATCCAGGTACTTAGTCTTAGTATCTGCTCAAATGCTGAAATGACCAGTGACCACAATACTGTCAAATTAAATATTAAATATATGAGTGTTCTCTTTTAAGAAATCTATGCATATCATATGTTCTTATGGATAATTTTAGGTACAGGTTATGTAAATGCACATGACTGCATATTAGTATATATTCGATTCTAGTGGCCACGAATAACGAATTCAATTCATGAATGGATATGGTTCGATTCCCCGAATACGCGAGTGAATCGTAACAGCTCTATTCATTACCCTATATTTGTGATGAGTATCATATTTATCTCAGTGTATTTGTTGCAGCCCTAGTCATGATTAATTATAAAGGCATATATGATGCTGAAAGCTCTGATCGAAAACAGGACAATCCGTGACGGTTGTCCGGAAACACCTTTTTTAAAAATCTATGAATTTATTTTTACGAAGAAGATTATTTTTTCACTACTACTGTTTTAAAAAAACAAGATTTTCCGCATTTCCGCGAGGATCTCACATTCCTGGGTTTGGCTATATTTTATCATTATAAAGACCAGTGGACTGAAACTGTTAGTTTCTAACACTGAACACATACCAACACTCAGTTCCAAATCAAAATAAGAGGTATCTAATGTACAGTTACACACGATGGAAATAATAACTTAGCCTTAAGTGTGACAACTTTTATATATGTTTTTGTTGATTTTATTTATTACTTGGTATACATACTATATTTAAAGATTTGCTTGAAACGTCTTTATTTTGTTCTTTGACATATTCGATGTGGACCTGTTGCGGAAGTGTGTCCGAGAATTTTATTTTCAATAACATTGCGGGAAATGGTGAATCTATCGATAAAAAATGATAAACTGGAATGGAATACGTATTTTAGACATTGTGGAATGTGATAGATTTAATAAATAATAATATGACAGGTAGGTTTATAAAGTTATATACTATTTTGACGTGACTACGGCTTTGCCGGTAGACCGGCCTATGGTGTTTGGGGGATCGATGCTTGGCTGGTCTACCAGCATACGGTGTTGAAAGAGTTAAGATCAGATTTTAGAAACTTTGGCACCCAACGATCAGATATCTTATTCATCTTTACATCTCCATGAATAATAGTTTCAATCGATCCATGGCTTAAACCTTTGTCATCCTTAAGTTCAGCAATGCTAATACGTCTATCTGACGGTATAAATTTTTCTATTTCCTTGACTGAAATCACCATTGATGGAAGTTGAGGAGCGTCCAGACTACAGGTCATCATCAAGACTTGTTCTCCCAGCCTTAAACAGAGCTGCCCAACGTTTAACAGTGGAATAGCTGGGGCACTTACACCCACACACTTGTGACATACAGCTTGACTGCTCGGTACTTGTTCTTTTCCATTTCTGTGGGCATTTGGACCCCTATCAAACTCGTAAAGATCCGGGGTGGATAGGTCTTCAGCAACCCATGCTTGTCATAAGGGGTGACTAACATGATCGGGTGGTCAGGCTTAGTTGATGCATGTGCTGTAATGTAATGTGAGATATTGGTGTTTTGAGTATATTTTGATCATTAGGTGAGGTCAGCTGCCTGGAGATCCGGGACAGAATAGGTCTTCAGCAACCCCTGCTTGCCGTAAAAGGTGACTATGCTTGTCGTAAAAGGCGACTAACGGGATAGGGTGGTCAGGCTCGCTGACTTGGTTGATACATGTCATCGTATCCCAATTGCGTGGATCGATGCTTATGATGTCAATCACTGGATTGTCTGGTCCAGACTTGATTAGTTACAGACTGCCGACATCTAGCTGGAATATTGCTGAGTGCGGCGTTAAACAACAAACAAACCACACCCTATCACTTTCAACTGGCTGTCACTAATATACAAACGGCCTCAACAGACCAAATACACTTGCAATGAACTACTCAAACAATGTACTACATGACCAGTTCACTTTGTTATGGCCCATAGTTGATAGTTAGTCAGGCTTAGAACTTTTTGACCAGCCTTCTTTGGAACATTTCTGCACCGAGTTGACATTTCTGTGAAATTGTAGTACATAAATGTAGTACATCCCTAGATTCCAATACTATAGCAGCACACTGGAAGGCCTCCTATTTTCTTTGAAACTGCATGTCATATTTTGTTTATTGTCCAATAAATCAAAAGTTAGCAAAATAAAAACATGATTGAAGTCTTTTCCATAATTTTGTCCTTAACATTTAACTCTGTACAATTATGTATGACTATGGATTACAAAGCCAATTCACACAATTAAATTTTGGCGTGCAAGGACTGCAGTTTAATTGAAACAAACAGTACCAATTATTTTGGTAGTATGTTCATCGATTTCTAGATAAACATCATTATATATTTAATACTGGGATCAGTTTCCGGTGATACAATCTGGCAATGTCAACTTGTCATTGATTTTGTATTACGGAGCTTAAGCTGAGAAAGCCGATGTCCCAAATATTGTAGCTGTAGGGAGCCCTGCTATCCAGGGTGTGGTCGTTACCCTGGTAAATCAGGCATTTCCTACTGCCCCTTGCCCTCCACCCCCCATATCATCAGTGTTGCCATGTGTATTGGATATATATGTTATATATCCTGGCTACAGGTAGCCCCTTGCCCTCAACCACCCATATCATCAGTGTTGCCATGTGTATTGGATATATATGTTATATATCCTGGCTACAGGAAGCCCCTTGCCCTCCACCACCCATATCATCAGTGTTGCCATGTGTATTGGATATATATGTTATATATCCAGGCTACAGGAAGCCCCTTGCCCTCCACCACCCATATCATCAGTGTTGCCATGTGTATTGGATATATATGTTATATATCCAGGCTACAGGAAGCCCCTTGCCCTCCACCACCCATATCATCAGTGTTGCCATGTGTATTGGATATATATGTTATATATCCTGGCTACAGGAAGCCCCTTGCCCTCCACCACCCATATCATCAGTGTTGCCATGTGTATTGGATATATATGTTATATATCCTGGCTACAGGTTGCCCCTTGCCCTCCACCACCCATATCATCAGTGTTGCCATGTGTATTGGAAACTGACAATTCAAGTATCGGGTGTACCTAAGTATCGATGAATCGTTACAGCTGTTGCCTGTTGCCTCTTACCTCT